CCACGCTGGCCGACTGTGCCGCGCCGCCAGCCAACCCCTACCTGTGGCTCAACGTGCCGGGCGCTGGCTGCCTACCCGCTGCCGCCGCCGCCGCCTACCTGGGCGTGCTCTTGCAGCCGCCGCCCGCCTGCGGCGCGCTGCACACGCCCTTCGCGCCCACGGAGCTGGGCTGGCTGTCGGTGGCCAGCCGCAAGGACCTGATGAAGATGGTGCGGCCGCCCTACTCGTACTCGGCCCTCATCGCCCTGGCCATCCAGAGCGCGCCCGAGCACAAGCTCACGCTCAGCCACGTCTACCAGTTCGTGGCCGACAGCTTCCCCTTCTACCAGTGCAGTAAGGCGGGCTGGCAGAACTCCATTTGCCACAACCTGTCGCTCAACGGCTGCTTCAAAAAGGTGCCCCGCGACGAGGACGACCCAGGGAAAGGCAACCACTGGACTCTGGACCCCAACTGCGAGATGTTTGACAACGGGAACTTCTGGCGGAAGCGCCGCTCCGAGGCTGGTGGCGCCGCGAAGGCCGTCGGACGTCGAAGCCCGAGGATGGGCTCCCCGTGGGACTGGGTGCCAAGCCGGAGGCGGCCGGCCCAGCCTCCCTACCGAGGCCCGCCGCATCCCCAGAGCCCGCCAAGGGCGCACAGAACGTTGCCCCGACTCCCAGCGGCCAGCGCTCGCCTCCAGCCCGTGCCTCAGCAGCTTCTTCGGCAGCCTCGGTGCCCTGGGCAGCGGTGGTTCCCAGCGGTCCCTTGCCGGCGGCCACCCCACAGGGACCCAGGGGGCCCCGCTGCCGCCGCTGGGTACCTTTATCCCAGCCTCCACCCCTGAGGCCTTGCCAGATGCCCTGCCGCTGGGCAGCGGGCCCGGCCCTGGTGGCAGCCAGCAGCCCTACTATGGCGCCTTCCCGGCCGGCGCTGGCAGGAGCCAAGGCAGCGCCTTCGACGGCCCTCTCTACAACTTGGGCGTGGTCAGCGGCCTCGCCTACCCACGGGAGGGCTCAGAGCTGTAGGCCAGCCGGGATTCGCGTGCGGTGGGCTGGGCGGCCCTCGGAGCGGTGCTTCCAGGGCCGGGAGCACGTAGCCCCTCTGTTCCGGGCGGGGCAGCCTGCCAGCCGGCAGGGCCACGACTCACATGCGCTTCGAAGTCCACCGGGGTCATTCGCGCACGTGCGCGCCGGCAGCAAGGATGGGCAGCTGTTGCTGGCGAGGAGCTGGGGGGGCCTGTTGGGGCGGCTGGTTCTCATGCACGCGGCAACGCTCGGAGCCTCACGGACCAGCCGGACACCGGGCTTTTTTCCTTTTCGAGTCTGAGTCTCGCTGTCGGCGGGCTGGAGGGCAGGGACACGCCTCTGGTCGCGGCGGCCTTCCAAGGAGGCAGAGCCATGGGCCTCCACACCCAACTTGTCTCTTTGGTCTTGCCAAGTCGCCCAGTCTGGCCTCGAACCCTCGGGCTCTGGCCGGCCTCTTGCGTCGGCCTCCCAGGGCGAGCGTGAGCCGCTGCGCCCGGCCACGTTGCCGGATCTCTGCAGAACTCCTCCAGCCACGCCTGTTGCCTCGGATGCCTTCAGCACGTGGCTGGAGGCGACACCCCGAATCCTTGCGCACCATCTTGCTCGCGGGTCCCCTCTGCCTGGTGCGGGGCAGACGTGCTCACACCAACATTGTGTGCGCGGCCCTGCGGCAGCCTCGGAAGGGAGCAGCACCGTGGCCGCCCTCGCTTCCCACATTCGGGGCGAAGCCCAAGATGCCTGGCGCCTCCTGAGGGGCCGAGACAGGTCCAGGTGGCCAGGCCCGAGGTGCTGCTCCGCCCTGCTGACCCTGCACCGGCCTCCATGGGGACCAGGGTCTCATGTACCTAGGACTCCGGCTGGAGCAGAAGGGGCCTGGTCTGTCCTGGGCACCAGGAGTGATTGCCGGCCCCTGCTGCCATCATCCAGGACCCGGGGCCACCCTCGTCTGGTCGAGGCCTCGTCGGGATCCTGTCCTCTCATTTGACAAGTGTTGTTCGAATTTTACGAAGAATGATTTTTCGGTGGGGTTTCCTCATTTTTTTTTTTTTGTTTGTTTGTTTTTGAGTTGAGTCTCACTCTGTTGCCCAGGCTGGAGTGCAGTGGCCGCTCCCGGCCACCGCAGCCTCCACCTGCTGGGCTTCGGCGATCCTTCTGTCTCAGCCTTCCGAGTAGCCGGAATTACAGGCATGCGCTACGGTCCAAGTTTTTAAGAGGATTCGCGTAACTTATGCTAGCACTTCTCTTCGCCTCTCAGAGTGATTCTTACGGCTGGCCTTTAGTGCATGGCAGAGCACTGGCACAGGGCGGACGCTCGCCCGCTGCTGAATGGCGGGATGTGTGCAGAGGGTGGGATCAGGATGCCCACGGTTGTTGGATTCACGGCCACCGTACCATGGAGATGAAGAGGAGGGCCTGGGCGTCGCCTTTGTGCCGTGTTTTTGGTGTAAAGAGTGCAACTAGGCTGCGGTTGTGACATTTTTAGAAGACAGAGCACGAGCACATTGTAAAAATATTTAACTTTTCCCTGTGTGTTTTTCTGAGAACCTCAAGCATTACTTTAAAAATTTTTTTATTTTGGAATATACAGAAAATTATTTTTTTAAGCAGCTTATTGAGGTACAGTTTGATGTCACCATTACTTTTTTAATATTATGCAGAAAGATAACCAAAGAAACTACCTACTCCCACACGACATGTACAGAAACACCAGTTTCTACAGATATATTTGAAAAATCATGTGGACTTTTATAAATATTGTTTCTAACACGATTCTATATTTGTAAATTAATTTATAATGTAAATCAGGGCAGCAAAGAAAATTTTGTTCCCAAGATAGTGCACTGCATGCGGAGAAGAATCACGTGAAATAAACTTTAAGTGAGGTAACTTCCAGAAAAAAAGAGAGAGAGAGAGAGAAAAGCTCTGTTTTAACAATTACTATAAAAGCCATGTAAGAATGCCTAATGGAATGCAGTTCCACATTATAAGTAAGGTGGAAAGCCTGATGCAAATTAATTACTGGATAATGCATGAAAAGTTTTTGTTTTTTTTTTGAGTTGGAGTCTCACTCTGTCGCCCAGACTGGAGTGCAGTGGCTGCTCCCAACCACCTCAGCCTCAACCTGCTGGGCTCCGGCGATCCTTCCGCCTCAGCCTTCCAAGTAGCCGGAATTATAGGCATGTGCTACCATGCCCGGCTGATTTTTTGATTTATTGTAGAGATGAGGTCTCGCTGCCCAGGTGGGTCTTGAACCCACGGGCTCAGGCAATCCACTCACCTCAGCCTCCCAAAGGCGTGGGATTACAGGCTGAGCCACCGAGCCCGGCTAGGGGCATTATTTTATGGAAAACAGGTATGCCTTTAACCATGAAGAAAGTATCCTTTTGGCTAAATTCTTCATAATTGTGGCACCCGTTGTGCTACAATCGTCTTATAATGGGTACCAATTGCTTGACCTAATGAGTAATAAAATTAAATGTTTGTCATTCCACGTCCAAATGTTCTTGACAAAATGGGAACCCTTGGACTTCACCAGTTAAAATAAGTTAATGTGGCCCCATGTAACTTTTTAAAAATATGTAAATTTTTGAAGGTTATTATGTATTGACTCTATTTCATTAATCACTATTGATAGTCAATTTTAATTACCAGTTTCTCTTTTTGTGAATCTTAGGTGGATTGTGTCTTTCAGTTAGTTTATCAGTTGGTCTAGGATATCAAGTTTGTTGGCATGGAGTTTTTTAATTAGATATGATGGGCTATCTTTTGTTTTTTTATATTAGTAATTTGTGTCTTCTCCTTTTTTTCTTATTTAGCCTCTCTTGATATTTATCAATTTTATTGATATCTTCAAAGAACCAGCTTTTGTTTTATTGATTTTCTCTGTTGGTTTCCTATTTTCAGTTTTATTGTTTGTGGTCTGATGGTTTGTATTTCTCTTTGTCTCACTGATTTAGGCTTAGTTCTTTTTCTAGGGTTCTAAAGTATATTACATCATTGATTTATATGTTTTCTTTGATTCTAATGTACACATTCAGTGCTATAAATTTTTCTCTAAGTATTGCTTTTACTGCATCCCACATTTTGATGTTTATTTATTATCAGTATATCTAAGTCACTAGTTAAATTTGAAAATAACATAATTTCATTATGTTTGCTCTGCAGTATGATAGTGAGTTTTAATTTACAGTTTTGGTAGTTCTTTTTCTAGGGTTCTAAAGTATATTACATCATTGATTTATATGTTTTCTTTGATTCTAATGTACACATTCAGTGCTATAAATTTTTCTCTGAGATTGCTTTTACTGCATCCCACATTTTGATAAAATGTTTATTTATTATCAATATATCTAAGTCACTAGTTAAATTTGAAAATAATTTCATTATGTTTCTTCTGCAGTATGATAGTGAGTTTCAATTTACAGTTTTGGTAGCAAAGGTTTCAAAACTATTTAGAGGTCCATTTAAAAAGAGTCAGTTACATAACCTTGATCATATACAATTATATAAAAGTGAGGGACAACATTGCTTGACATAAGAAAATATTCAGAACAGATCAATGGAAGAAATAAGCAAAATATATTCCAACGTATACACCATCTTCCCTTTCTATAATTGTTATTGGTTGTCTGCAAAGGCAAGTGACCCCTAACCAAAAGTTTGGGCCCTATGTTTAGGTTGATGTTGCTAATTATACATCAAGAGTGTATAAGTATATTTATTTTCATAATTGTAGTCTCCTGGGAGAGCAGCCTCTCAAGCTGATGCAAAATGGTTTGAGAGAAAAAGGAAAGGGCACTCACATTTTTGTAATGATTAGTTTGTGGGCAGGGTGAGTTTGCATGCCCCCAAACTGCAGACAGACATGTGGCTTAAGCAGCATGAAAGCATATGTATATATTTAATCTTTAGTCTGGTAAAGATTAATATATAGTCAAACACAAAGTATAAGACTACAGTGGAACATATATATTGTTCATGATTCTAATATTCAAAAGACAAAAGTATTAATAATAAGTATAATGACAAAAATATGTTATTGGATACAAAATACAAAAAGATGTAAACTGTGAAATCAAAATATGAAATGTTGGGGGAAAGTAAAAGTGCACAGACTTTGCAACAAAGTAAACTTTTTATCAGCTTAACATAGACTTTTATATCTATAAGATATTTTACTAAGCCTTGTGGTAACCACAAAACAAAATCGTATGGTAGATGCATAAAAGAGAAAGGAATCAAAGATTAACACTATAAAGTCAAGTTGCAAAGGGAGACAAGAGGAAGAAAGTGCCAGAGACCAGCTCCAGCCAGGTTCAGGGTACCCCAAAGGTGGAGATGGCGTCAGCGATTGGGGGGAAGAAGAAAGAGAGAGAGAAAGAAAGAGGCTGGACTCCGGTCTAGGGTAGAAGCGATGTGTGTTATTGGGAATTACAACGGGTCTTTTATACACAAAGTCAGATGTGGGAGGGGCGTCCCCCACCCACCAGAAACCTTAATCCATGAAAACTTAATCAGTGATTGGCTTTAAACCCTTTTTATATGATAATCTTAAAATCCCATAACAAAGGAAAACCTAATCCATGACTGACATATTCTATAAACCTTTTTCATCCTAAGCTGATTGATTTATGCCAAGTTAAACAATTCTATAGAAGCTTAAGTATTTACTTTACAAATGAAAGTGGCCCATCCCAGAATGTTTGGAATGTGGCCCAGTCCAAAGTTCACAGTGGGCTACCTGCAAGTAACCCAGCCACATTCTTTCAACAAAATGGCTGTCTTCTAAAACTGTATTCTACAATTTACACCTTCAATAAATCCTAAGATCACGACCCAGAAACCTGTGACCAATACTAAGGCTCTTAGATGTGACACGAGTTTGAATTATAAGTTGTGTGAAAGCCAAAACTGCAGTTTGTGGAAGAATGGGAGCAATGAGCTTCCAAAGTTAGCTTGTGTTTGTCCCGATCTCAGAGTTTCTATGTTTTGAGCTCACA